CAGTGGCCGGCTGCAATTCAGGTCCTGGACCTAGTGGTTTGCTTTCTCTTTCTCTTTTTTTTTCCTCTCTCTCTGTGTCTCTCTCTGGTCATATTAAAAAATAAATAAATAACAGTGGGGCCAGCAGGTGGCATGGCAGTTAAGGTGCTGGATTCCCACATGGTCAACCATAGCTCAAATCCCAAACCTGGCAGCTCGAAACTCAGAATGATTATGTATGCATATATGCCCAAAATCCCAAGAGGAGAATGGAGGAGAAAGAATTGTGGCATGGTCTAGGGATGATTTCTCACTTTATTTCTCTCTGTCTCTCTTTCTCTTTCCAGCGAGCACACACACCCTGTAGGAAAAAAACTCTCATAAATAAATAATGACAAAGTAAATTAAATAATTATGGGTTTTTTTTTTTTGAGAGATTTTCACTGTAGGGCGCGTGCGCTCGCCAGACAGACAGAGAGAGACATAGAGACAGAAAGCGAGAAATCACCCCCCAGGGGGGATGGTCACGCCGCAATCCCTTCTCCTCCATTCTCCTCTCGGGATCTTGGGCACGCACGCACACGCGCCCGGCGTGAGTTTTAAGCCACCGGGTCCGGGACACGAACCGCGGTCGACCACGTGGGAATCCAGCAACATAGCCATTACGCTAACTGCTGGTTCCCAATAATTATGTTTTAAAAGAGAGTTTTGTTTTGTTTTTTTCTATTTAGAAAAGTTTATTGAACATTATTCCCACAATACACTTATCAAAAGAAAAACTTATTTTTTCCTGAAGGCACCCTTTCATTCCACATGATCTACACTCTAATGTTTTTTGTATTAAAAATATGGTTAAGTATGAAATTAGTAAACCGCAGCATATAAAACTTCATGCTGAGCAAAAATAAGTCCAAAAAAAGGTCACCATATATCCAGAGAATAGTCCCCATAGTATGTTTCCTATGTAAATCATATTTGAATACAATTTTTAGAACCACACTTAAATATATTCTGCAATTTGTTAACTAAAGGCATCCACATTTTCTTCTGCCACATATCTGTTCCTTTGATTAAGCTGGCAACTTCTGCTAGAATCCAAGAAATGCAGGGAAAAAAAAAAAAAGTTACTTCTCAAGGTTTGAAAGATCTGGTCCACCTTTAGTGTAGTTTCCTGAGATTTCTACTCCACTGAAGTCAAAACCAGGATTTTCTTTCTGGAATCTCTCTAATGTCAGCTTTCTCTGCATTTGATCTTGTACCCACGGATCAGCTACATATTCAGATTCTAGTGAAGAAGTCCAACAATTCGCTGCATCTCTCTTTGTTTTTGTAAGAACAATCCGGACCATTTTTCTGTCCTCCAAAGTCCATGTTCCCTCATCAGCTATCGTAGAATCAAAGAGTTTGCCCTTGAGGATCTCACGGCCACCCACGGCCAGTGCCATATGCCGGCTCTGCAGGCCGCACTGGATATCCTGCGCACAAGTGCCTGGAGGCACTTGAACTTCAATGAGCACCTCCTCCAGAGTCTGGTACCACTGGCCCCACAGCGTTCCGCAAGGAACCACCCCACTACGTTCCTCAAAGGGGGCCGACATACTCCAGGTGCCTCCCGGCAGCGGTACCAGCCGCACCAAGCGAGCCAAGCAAAAGAGAGATTTTTTTACCTCTGGATTATCATTGAGCATTATAGGCCAAAGAAGAACATTAAATTGGATCCTCTGAAAACTCCTGATGTATTTGTTTTTCTATGAAAAAATACATCATGACTTTTTCAGTAGAAAATGTGAAAGAAAAAATATGTTAGGTATTTTATAATGCTATTTACCCATCTCCTGTGTTCTGTAGAGGCATCCTGTAGCAATTTCATAGTCTCTACAATATGTTACACAATTTGGCTAAAGAAAAAATGGCATTGGCAAGGCTAATTTTTATTGCAGTGGCCTTAATACTTTTGAAAGTTCTTAAAGTTCCCTTTTTTCTATTGTCTCCCGAGAAACTTTCATAAGTTACTATAAAACTTATTTCCTTCTGATACATTATATAAATCTTTATATTTTTAAAGAGAGAATGGTATTAAGTGACTGACTCATGTGTTCTCCTTTTTCTCTAGAATGTGTAAGTGAGTTAAGAGTTTGGCTCAGGGGATCAGCAGTTGGCATAAAGGTTATGTCGCTGGACTTCCATGTAGTTAACCACAGTTCAAGTCCTGGTGGCTTAAACTCACACCGGGCATGTGTGCGTGCATGCCCAAGATCCTGAGAGGAGAATGGAGTAGAAGGGATTGCAGCATGGCCATCCCCCCCGGAGTCTGATGTCTCCCTTTCTGTCTGTCTTTGTCTTTCTGGAGAGTGCATGCACCCTATAACAAGAACCTCTCAAAAAAAATAAATAAATAAAAAAAGAGTATGGCTCAGGACCAGCAGATGATGTAATGGCTATGTCACTGGGCTTCCATATAGTTGACCACGGTTCGAGTCCCAGGCCCGGTAGCTAAAACTAATGCCAGGCACGTGTGTGTGCATGCCTAAGATCCCAAGAGAAGAATGGAGGAGAAGAGATTGTGGCGTGGCTATTCCCCCTGGGGCATGATTTCTCACTTTCTGTCTCTCTGTCTTTCTGGCTAGTATGCGTGCCCTATAGCAAAAACCTCTCCAAGAATAAAAAAGTATTGCTCATTGTCTAGTCTGTGACCTTTGAAATATCCATGTCTCTCTGGGAGATTATTAGTAGAGGCCTGGAACTCAGTTTTAGAATTCTAAAATTTGATTTTTATTCATTTACCCAAGTGTAATGTATGGAAAAACTATTGTATACTAACTATAAAACTAAAACCCATTATAGTGATAAACTTGAATAGCACTTTGTGGTTTAGGGGTATGGCCACCTCTCAGAGACTCAAATATTATTCCCTATTCAGGTGGCTTCCTGTCACCCATTGCCTCAAAACATGAGCCATTAGAGTATGCTTAGGGAACAAGATCAGCATCAGGGGCACTATGTGGCCCACAAGAACTGTTTACCCGAATATTTTCCTCAGTATCAACACATTGACAGTCCATCTCTTTTTAAAGAATTTTTTGTTTGCTTTGTTTTGTTTTTGCTATACAGCATGTGTGCTTACCAGAGAGAGAGAGAAAAAAAGTGAGAAAAGAAAGAAATCTGCCAGGTCCGTGACTTGAACCATCGTTGGTCATGTGGGAGTCTAGTGCCTTAACTGCCACACCACCTGCTGGCCCCTACAGACAATCTCTTAAGCTGTATTAGTAACACTGGTAGCTGTTGTTCATACAAAGATTTTGGCTATAGGGCACGTGCACTCACCAAAGAGACAGAGACAAAGAAACAGAACACAAGAAATCACCCTCCGGGGATTGGCCACGCAGTAGTCCCTTCTCCATCCTCTTCTCTAGATCTTGGGCATGCACACCCATGCGCCCAGTGTGAGTTTTAAGTTGCTGGGTTCAGGACACAAACTGCAGTCTACTACTTGGGAGTCCAGCTACATAACCATTACGGCGTCATATTTCAATCACAGTTAACATCAGTTTTAGAAAGTATTTTACTGGTCCTTCCCTTTTCATTGTTTTCTCCCTTTTATTGAACTGCAGAGTTACTACCTTGCAAAAAAAAAAATGAAACTAGGGCCAGCAAGTGGCATAGTGGTTAAGGTGCTGGACTCCTATGTGACCAACCATGGTTCAAGCCGTGAACCTGATGGCTTACTTTCTCACTTCCTCTCCCTCTCCCTTTCTCTCCTTCTCTCTGTCTCTCTCTGGAGAGCATGCATAACCTATAGCAGATTTAATAATGATAGTAATAAATAAATAATAACAAGAAAAAATGGACCATCAGGTGGCATGGTGGTTAAGGGCACTGGACTCCCACATGGCTGACCACAATTCGAGTCTCGGACCTGGTGGCTTGCTTTCTCACTTTCTCTCTCTCTCTCTTTCTGTCCCTCTCTGATCAAATTAAAATAAACAAATAGAGTTAAATAAAATAATTCTTTACAAATAAAAAACAGTAAAACTACACTAATTCTCATTAATTGGGGGATTGTCATCCTGAATTACAGTTGCTAACTTTTCATTACAGACATTTTTAAACATACTTCACTACAAACATAAGTGTCCTGAACCTCCATATGTCCCTTACTTAACTTTAATAATTATCAGCAAATGACTAATCTGTTTCTGTTTCTCTTTCCTTCCCTCCTATATTATTTGACATAAATCCTAGGGTGGCTAGACAGGGTAGCAGTAAAAAGTGACACTATGCAGGGACCAACAGATGGCATAATGGTTATGTAGCTGGACTCCCACATAGTCAACCGCCGTTCAAGTCCCGGACCAGTGGCCGAAAAGTCATGCCAGGCGCATGTGCATGCATGCCCAGAATCCCAAGAGGAGGAGGGATTGCAGTATGGCTGTCTCCCCGGGAAGTGATTCCTCACTTTCTGTTTCTCTGTCCCTCTCTGTCTCTTCGGCGAGTACATGTGCCCTACAGCAAAAATCTCTCTTAAAAACAAATTTTTTTTCAGAGTGTAGTCTGTTGTTTCCTTTATCCTTACTACATTTTCTAAGTAATGAAATATTTTGAGGAGTTTTACCACTGTCAAGCAACATACTCTCACATGTAGCTCAGTGAAGATGCAAATACATTAACTTTTATTTTTTAGCATTAGTGAGTTATTTTTCTTTTTAAATAATTATTTGAGTAATACAAATGATAGAAAGGACTGTAAAGTAATGAATGGTAGAATTAGGAATTGTTTTCTCCTGGTTATTAAGAGTCATGGTTTTTGCTGGGGGTCAGCAGATGTCGTGGTGGTTAAGGTTGCTTGACTCCCACATGGTTCGAGTCCCAGACCTGGCAGCTTTCTTTCTCACTTTCTTCTCTCTCTTTCATTCTGTTCGTCCCTGGTCAAATTAAAATAAATAAAGTTAAATAAAATAATTCTTTTTTTAAAAAAAAGCCATGGTCATTGCTTTAAAGTGATTTTTTTTTTTTCTCAATTTTGCTATAGGGCACATGCAATCACCAGAGTGAGGTTAACTGAGAAATCACGCCCCAGGGAAGATGACCACACCACAGTCCCTTCTTATCCAGTCTCCTCTTGAGATTTTGGGTGCACAAACACACACCCAGCAAGATTTTTAAACTGCCAGGCCCGGGTCTTCAGCCACACCATCAGCCATGTGGGATCCAGCCTCCTTATCTTCCATGACATGTGCTGGCCCTATAAAGTGATTTTTATGCAGTGAAATAATTGCTTATAATTTACAGAGAAGAGTTAAATTTGACTTTTATTGCTAACCAATTTGAAAAATAATTTTATTTCATTAAGTCTGTGGACTATTTATACCAAGAAGCTATACAGTTGTCTGCATGTCATCGTGCTGTGTCTTCGTGTCTGAGTGATTTCTCTTTTCCTCACAGCTCTTCAGTAGGTTACTTGCAGCACCCAGGATCAGAACAAGTACAGTTTCCTCGAACTACTTCACCATGCAGTTCCCAGCAGCTTCAAAACCACCAGTGTGCAGGTAAGAGCAGAACATTGAAAGAAAGGTAATGGCGTGTCATTTGAGAAACAGTTCACTTCCTGTAGGCATTTGTACAAAAAGTGTCTCAACCTATGAGAGGCTGTGGTAGACCCAGGGTACTTAGTATGCCATGCTGGGTCAGGGTGAACACTGAACAGTCCACCTCTTCCTTTTCTGTTGCTGCTGCTGTCACATTGCCATCCCGCTTCTCCTCTTGCATAGATATTGATATTCTCTGGGGTCCTTTCCTAGACGTCTTCTCATGACCCTTCTAGCCCTGACTGGATAATCCAGCCATCCCCAAAGCTTCAACTGTGCTTTTGGTCAACTACTCCCAAACCAGACAGGACCACACAGCCAACTCATTATTGGATATCCCAACCCAGATGTGTTAAAGGCATATTGAACTCAATATTTTCCTTCTGGTTTATTTTTCTCATGTGTTACTTGTAGTAATCTCTTATTTGCTTTGCTTATCTCATATTCCCCTCACCTCCAACTTTCTTCCTCACCAACATACATACGCACTTTCAAAAATTATTGTCCTGAGGCAGAAATCTCTTCATATCATTCCTCTGAATACATAACTTGGATTGAGGGACCAGCAGATGGTGTAGCAGTTACATCCCTGGACTCCCACATGGCCAGCCATGGTTCGAGTCCTAGATCCAGTGATTTAACTCGCACCAAGCGCATGTGCGTGCCTGCCCAAGATCCCAAGAGGAGAATGGAGGAGAAGGGATTGCAGTGTGGCCATCCCCCCTGGGGGGTGATTTCTCACTTTCCCTCTCACTGTCTCTGTTTCTCTCCCTCTCCAGTGAGCACATGCACCTAAGGCAAAAACCTCATTAAAACAAAAACAAACAAACAAAAAAAAAAACTTGGACGAGTTCCCCTTCTGAACTCCCTTTCAAGTAAGCCTTCCATTTATACTTTGGTCTTTGAGTCATACAGAACTTTATTTACACAATATGCTGTTCCTTTTTATACTAAAGGTAACTCTTATAACTGTTCTTTACTCTGCCTGGAATGCCTGACCATCATGCTTTGTT